TGTGTGTGTGTGTGTGTGTGTGTGTGTGTGTGTGTGTGTGTGTGTGTGTGTGTGTGTGTGTGATAGAAAGAGGAAAAGATGACCATTTCCTGCTGCAGCAAGAAAATAAAACAAACAGGAAACAAGGAGCAGAGCTCACAGCGAGCTGGACAAGGACTGAGACCAGGAGCACCGGCAGAACCAACAGAACCAACAGAACCAGTCCAGAGGAGAACACCTCGAGGAGCAGAACCCAAGAAACCCAGCAGACCTGAAAGGACTGTGTTGGATCTCTGAAACCCTCAAAGAAGAGGGGGGACCAGGATAACGAGCAGATCAGGTCTGAGGACAGTAGAACACCTGGAGGAGTCTCAACAGAACCCCGAAGGACCAGAACCGCTGTAACCTGGACCCAGGGATGTGTCTGTCCTGACGGGCCGACCTGGATTGTTCTGGAACTCAGTGAAAAGGTGAGAACTGCTGCAGGACCTGCTTGTAGAGAGGTCTTTGGGTTTTAGTTCGGTGCCATCAGGTCCAGATGTTAGAAAGTGGTTTCAGGTCCAGCTGCTGATGTTCTGATCTGAACAGAACTTTGAAAGATGAACAGAACCAGTCCAGGCTGGTTGGYTGAGAGGCCAAGAACTAAGACCTCAGACCTCCATCAATGTTCTTCTTTAAAGCCCAACAGAAGTCAGACTCTTACTTTGAAGAGTTTTATTTTGAAACTCCAGGTTGAACTGCTTCCTGTTGTTCTACCTTTAATCCCTAAAAAGCTGCTGAGTCACTGGTTGCCGTGGTGATTTATGTAGGGTGACAGGGTCCTGATGGATCCTGATCCAGCTGCTGGTTCGGTTCTCCTGAAGCCTCATGGGGCTTTCTGTAGACCTGGATCCAGACCTGAGCCCAGATCAGAGCTCCCGTTGCTTCGTCCACTCTAACTGTGATAAATAAATAAAGCAGCAGTGCAGTCAGCAGGAAAATAAAAAGCTTCTGAGCGTCAGAACTTCTCTGTTTCTGACCCGATCAAAACACAAACAGAACCTTTTAACACAGATGGAGCTGCTCTGTCAGCTGATCAGCACAGTCTGGTCTGAAACAGAACCTTTTTTTAAAAACGCTGAGTCAGCAACTCGTCCCTGGTTGTTATGTGCTTGTTTTATAAACTGAACAGTTTGCACATATTCTCTGAAATAAAATGTGTAAATGTGTTTACACTGACTCAGCTGGAATGGGTTGTGAGTGCATTAATGACTCCTTCCATGTGAGGCCTTGGATAAACATTCAATCAGCTGTTGATGTCAACCAGTGATGTCATCAGGAAGTGGAAGGGATACGTCTYCTTCTCAAACCCACTGGAACATCTTCTATGGGGAAAGCAGATTGTGAGGACTTCAGGGTTGGTCTGTCCATAACTGGAGCTCCATGGCAGCAGGGCTCCAGGGATGGAGGAGATCCACCTTGATTTCCTCAAGGCTCTGGGTGTTGTGGGTCGGTCCTGGTTGATAGGCCTTTGCAACATGGTGTGAACATCGGGGGCAGTGCCTCTGGGCTGACAGACTGGGGTGGTGGTCCCCCTCTTTAAAAAGAGGAACTGAAGAATCTGGTCCAGTTACAGGGGCATCACTGTCCTTAGCCGATAAGGTCTGTTCAGGGGTACAGGAGAGGAGAGTCCCATCAATGGTTGAACCTCAGAATCTGGAGGAATGTGGGTTCAGTCCTGGCCGTGGAACACTGGACCAACTCTTTACCCTCACTAGGGTCCTCGACGGGTCATGGAAGTTCGATAATCCAGTCTATTCCTTGAAGTACACTGTGGTGGGGTGCTACACGACCATTGTTACGGGCCATTCAGTCTCTGTACAAGTGGTGAGTTTGGTTCTCATTGCTGGTAGTCAGTGAGACCCCTTAAGCCAGGGGGCTCAGGGAATCTGGTTGTATGGTATGAGTTTTAAAGGGATCCATGATCAGTTGTAACATTAGACTTTATTAGATTAACATTTATTTTAACTGTAAAATAAAGACTGTAAAAATACTGTAGGCTGCTTAGTTTTGTGAATTTTTTTAAA